GAGCTTTATGAACACAAGGTTCTTTTTTGGGTACAAACTCTGGAATCAGGTGCTGGCAGGTGCATGGCATTATAAATAAGACAAAAACCACTGTATCGTACTGCTTTACATGATAAATATTGTGTTAATTGAACTTTTTCTCAATAGAAGATTTTCAAGAAAAAACCATGTATACCATGTAAACAAAATGCAGATGAAAATTAAAAGTAAAAGGAGAAGTCAGAAATCAAAGGGCGAGGGAGGAACGCAGCGGCCCTATGCAGGTTGGTTCGCACACTAACCCACGGCAAATGCTGAACAGTCAAAATCAGCCTTGCCTGTCCCAAGGAAGTCGAGGTCCCAGGGCAGACCGAGATGCTTTCTCTGGGCGAGTCCAGCACAGCTCTGGCAGGAATGTCCAAACATTCTGCCACATAGCTTTAGATAAAGACAAGAGCAGAAAAACGCTTCATAACGAGTAGCATAAAAACAGGAATCTGGGGGCCAGGAGGCGGCGTGGTGGCCGAGGCACTGGACACCACGTGACTGACCACAGGTCAAGTCCCAGACGTGGTGGCTTGCTTTCTCACTTTCCCTCTTTCTCTCTCTCCCTGGTGAGCGAATGTGTCCTGTATAGCAAATTTAAAAATAATAATAATAATAAATAAAATTAAATAAATACTTCTTTAAAAACAAATGAAAAGCAGAACCCTGTCACCTCCCATGAGCCTGAAGGCTGGCTGCAGTCCTGTCCTGAGGGTCCAGCGGGGCCTCGCTCCCACTTCAGGCACTCGCAGCTTCCTCAGCAGGACAGCCGGGGCTCGGACCTGGACCCTGATTGCAAGGCCTGTACACAACGGACTCCCCATCTCCGAACACCTCCCATCTGCTATGGTCTCGCCTCACCACCATAGCAAGTCCCACAGCCACGCCCAGGATCTGGATGTACAGGGACCAGCCACAGTGAACAGATACCAGGAAGGGAATCACCCAGGCCTCTCTGCGGACAGTGTAGCCCAGGGTAAAATTGGGTTTCTGGTTTTTTGGTTTAGCATTATATAAAGTAGCAGGCCTGGGCTTGAGAACCAGTGGTGTGAAAAAAATATTTATCTTCAACCACCAAATCACATTTCGCACGGTGAGATGCTCGTGAAGAGCCTTTGCAAGCTACGGCAAAGTGAAAGAGCAGGGGCTTCGCATGTCCCCGACAGCCCATCGGGGCATGAAGCCCCCAGTGCGATGGGGCACCAGCTGGCAGTCTGTGGCTGGCTCTCCTTCCTCTGCTGAGCCCCGGGTAAGAGAAACCCATGCTATGACTCTACCGTACACTGTGAATCAACTCTAAAACGCTTATTGCAATAAGTTATGTATTAAATTTAGAGCTTCTCAAAATCCAGGTGGACTCCACAGAGTCCCATCAGCAGGCAGG